ATAACAATTAGTTATACATTAATATCCAATTGATATATCTATGTATTTTTATTTTCCTACTTGATATTATATAATAATAAATAATAAAAAAAAAAAAAACTGTTTTTATTGTTATACTTATATAAATATTTAATAAAATTACAATTTAAACTAATGATATTAATATTCAATTAGCATTAAAATATATATTTAAAACAATTTTTATAGCATATTAAAATGCTTTATATATGAACTAAAAACACATTTGCCTCATCACTCTTACTAATTTAAAAAGCTAAATATTATCTAATTATATAAATAAAATAAATATAGATATATTTACTTAATTTTTAGTAAATTTAAATCACTAACATGTGAATGTCTTTTTTTATAAATTTCAAAATTTATTAATTAAAACAAAATAAGTTCTGCATATATATATAAAATTATTTATAAAGTATATAATATGTTATAAAGTATATATTAAGAGGTTCTAATTTGACAAGTCTGTTACTAATCAAAGGTTAGCTTCATATAATAATTAGATGGCTTTTGGTTAAAAGAGGTGTATAGATTTGGCAAATGATTTCAATTCATTTTAGCTTATTCTAAATAGTCTATACTACATTGAGACTATTACTCTAATTCTTCTATTAATTGCAATATTCCTTACTACATCAGAAATTACTGACAATCAAGTTGGAATTTACTACTATTACAGATTAGATTTATTCTTTAACAATGGTTCTCTACAGTCACTAATATATGAACCCTTAATTTGTAATTTGTAAGGTAAAGAAATCTACTTTATTGCTTAAGTAAGACTATATATTATTTATAACTAATTCTTTATTTATTTTTAGGATGCTGATAATTATTATTATGCTTATAATAATTATAGTACTTATATCACATATATTGATTATAATAATTATAATCAATATATACAATATATACATTATAATTATTATATGCATAATTATTCCAAATATAACAAAAGATCTTTATAGCCAGAAGGATGTTATTTAGAGTTGATGGCAAAGATCTTACAATGAAATTGGCCACTCATAGATCATGGATTTCAGGTCTAACAATATCAATATATTACTAAATATAATCTGGTATTGTTATAAATTTTTTTAAATGTAAAAAGCTTGTCAACCAAGTAACAGAGAAATCATTATTGTAAGATTAGAGAACTTAGATCATATAAAAATTTATTGTTTAGGCTTTTATAAAATAGTTGCAATTAGTTAATAGTTTGCAGTTCTAAGCAGGTTTTTTGTAATATAGCAGCCTAATTGCATATAATAATATTATAGTTATTAGTTTGCAGTAAGTAATTGTTGTCAAGTAAGAAGTATGAGTCTCCTATGTAGGCATAAAACATCTTTGTCTAGTAAATAGTTATTTAAAAATTTTTAAGGCTGTTAGTATACTATTTTTTTTTTACTATCACTTATCTTGTATTAAGGCTAGCTTTATTGTTTACTACAATATTATTTAATTATATTAAAATAGAAATACATTATTATAAATAAAATTTAGTTTTCAATAAAATTTTAATAATATTATATATTAGTTATAAGCTGGTCTAAGTTGATGTTAAGTAAATTAAAAGAATTGGTATGTTATATGGCTTATCTAGTATAAAGAATAAAAAGAATCTTAGTGATTTGCTCTAGATATATTTTAGAAAGAATAAAGAAAAGGCTATAGACAAGAGTAAAGTAGAAGATAAAAAGACTTAAATAATATTATTGAAGTACCCAGAATTGATGCTAATGAAAGAGATTAGAATAATGAAAAAAATGCTGATCTTAAGATAGATGACATATATACATATTCACAAAAAGCAAACAATAAAACTAAAAATTAGTTAATAGATTATTTCTAAGAAAGAGAGAAGACAAAACAAATAACAGTTAATATGTTTCTGTTGGCAATAAGTAAAATTGAAATAAAGATAGAAAGAAATTTTTTGCTCTATATAGAGAAATAGAGGAGTGTAATTTATTAAATAAAGCATAATCTAAAGTTAGCTTGTCAAAAACATGTAATTAGTATAAGTATAATTTCTTGGCAAAAAATCATTAAACATTTAGACAAAGCAATAAAAGTAATACTAACAGCTAATAAAAGAATTTTAATGTCATTAGAGATAAAATTAAAGCCTAGACAGCTACACTAAAGTTAGCTAATAACAAGAGTTAGAATATAGCATTAGAGATAGTTGGAAGTAATAACAAAATAATAAAAAAAATACAAAAAACATATTCTATTATTTAGCTAATTAAATGTAACCTTATGCTATTATAGTTAGAATAAGTTTAATAAGTTATATAGATATAAGAGAAAAAGATATTCTTTATCTTTGTCTAATTCAAAAAGAAATAAAAGTTATAATAGTAAAAGGAGATAAAAAGAAGTTTTCAATTCTTTTGTAACAGAAAAGTTTTTAGGTTCTTAGAATATAAAGAAGTTTTTAACTGCTTTAACTTTGAAGATATTGGACAAATTATCTTCTACTGTTTCTTTGCAGATTCTAAAGCCTCTACCAAGCTAAAAAATAAAGACTGACTATAATTAAACCCTATTTTCAGAAAATTGTCCAATGTTAAATCTAAAAAAAAACAGAAAATCAGATGTTAGAGTAAAAAGAATGCAATTAGCAAAAGCTTTGAGTTATTGGTAAGACAAAATAAGGTTATTACTGGTAGTATTAAATTGGTTAAAAAATAGGGTTTTATTATTTTTAAGAGAAATTTTTTTATTTGCATCACAACAAACTCCAAAACATGCATTATTAAAAGATTAAAAGCATTTTTAGCAATAAAAGTATTAGAAAATCAAGTAGAAAGACCTATATTCATTCTGGAAATGAGTTTTGTTTTTTTGATGTTCAAAAGAAGCCAAAAAAATAGAAAATAATTCTAGACTTAAAGGCATCTGAACATTATTTAATCTGAAAAAAAGTGAAGTTAGAGGGTTTTGAAAATCTTTTGCATACAGGCTGGTAAGTAATTATATAGGATTTGATAAATAGTTACCATTATGTGATAATAGAAAAGAATGCATAATAGTTTCTTGAGTTCTAAATGTTGAAAAGCTAGTATTATTACAAAATTTTTCTTTTTGGTTTGTTACAATTTTTATGGATCTTTTTCAAAATAATAAGAGTGATTATAGGATATTGAAAATTACTAAGACCATTTTGTAAAACTATTTGATACTTTTTGGATACTTTAATAATAATAAGATACTAGCTGATAACAAAAGATCTAAAGAGATATGAGTTGGTGAAAAAAAAAAAAGAGCAGTGTGAACTATTATAGCAAGTAAAGTTCTTTAAATTAATAATCATATAGTAAAAACACAAGTAATAGTTTTAGATATAAAGATCTTAGAAATAAGGACATTAATGTTAGAGCTTATAAAGAAAGAGAAGATATTAGAATGCAACTTGACAGCAATAGCAAAAAAAATGCTTATTTTAAGGTTTGATGTCTGAAGTTTTACACAATAATAGATGCAGCAAACAGAAGTTGTTGGCAATAAGATTCATTAGTAAAGTTAACAAAATAAGCAAAAGAGGATGCCAGATAGATGGTTCAAACTTTTTTTTTAAATATTAATAGTAAGGCCATGTATTTAACTTTATTAAAATTTAATTAAAGTTGTTATAAGAAAAAGCTTGCTTTTAAATTATATATAAAGAATAAAGACTCAGATATATAATCTGTGACCTAAACCTACAAGAGTAGCTAATCTTACCTAAATTTGGATATTAGTCATAATATAAAAGAAAGAGGTATGATATTTAATCTATTAGATAGTTCAAAGATTAATTTTAGTAATAATTTGTGATATAGAGATAGAGGGTAGACTAGAAGAAGAACTTTGAGTTAAGTTTGTATTAAGTGTAGTTTAAGACTATGCAAAATGTGAAATGCAATATAAAATCCATATTTGTTTATATATTTGTTAATTTAAATGAAAAAGAAATTTAATAAAAAAAAAAATAACTATATAATAAGGAATAAAAGTATTATAAATAGTAAAAATAAGGTCAATAGAAACTTGACTAGATAGAATAAAAATAAGAGATGAAATGTATAAAGAGTTGTGCAATTTAAAGCTATTAAGTGTACAAATTTCTTGATATAAATTAAAAACAAGGTTGGTAGACATGTCAAGAGCAGTAGCATTTAAGATACAATTAAAAGAATTTGAGATTAAGTGATAAATTGTTTAAGTAGAAGAGCAAAAAATCTAGTGTAATAAGAAGCTAGTTTGATTATATTGGTGACAAAAAAAAGAGTAAGAGGAGTTACATTTATAAAGAGTATAAGGAACAGACAGTTCATTCAAGAGAATTTAATACAGAAGGTTTTTAGAATAAAAGAGTAAAAGCTATAAGCAAAGTTAGAGATTTTTTGATTATTATTAATGTAAAGCCAAGTGGCTTTTCAGTTGATATTAGAAGCAATAATAGACCAATGTTGGAAACAATATTGAGATATACAAAATATTATAATATGAGCTTAACAGATAGTACAAATAGAGTTAAATAGATATCTTAATAGGAAATTAGTTGATAAATAGAGTATAGGCAAGACTGTAAGAGTTGTTAGTTAAAAATATTAAAAAGGATAGTATTTAATAACTATGAGAAAGTTGGTCAGCAGAGTTATTAAATAGGTTATCTTGGTATGCAGTAAGTTTGTGAAAAATAAGCTAAATGTTGTATGATTTAATAAAGTTGATAAGTGTTTTCAAATAGAGAAGTATAGAGTATGAGTATAAAAAAGTTTGGATGCTAATGAGCAGATACTGTGATATTTAAGATTACAGATTGTAAGTCTATAAAAATATGAACAGAACAGTTTTAGAAACAGTTATAATTACTGAGAAAATAGTGAGAATTTCAGCTTTAAAGAAGCAAGATCAGAGTTTAATTTGTGTCTAAAATAAGTAAATAGTTGCAGAATTATCAACTTGAATCCAAGCTATGCCTATAGAGCATTAAAAGGTACCAAACTCAATGACAGAAACATTAGTATAAAATGAAATAGTAGTTAGATTATAATTGAAATTAGTAATAAACTGTAAGCTATCAGTAAGTGAGTTAGACTAAAAGATATAAAATAATTGTTGTAAGTTTATTATTAATGAAAAAGAATGTAAAATATATAAAAGATGTTGAATAGCTATAGAGTATACAATATTAAGAAAGTAGGCATAAAAGTTAAGAGTTTTGTCAGAGTTGATATGCAAAGTAGTTTTGTAACCAGATTTGTAAAAATAAAAATAATGCATTTGTTGACAATTATATTACAATTAAGATTATATCTGAAATATAATGTAGTAGAAGTGAAAGTAAGATATAGATTCAAAAACTGGATCTAGTATGAGCAATACCAGTAAGTAATAAGAGTAAGGCCTATAGAAATATTATGCCTTTTGGTCTTGCCAATAATTATTTGATTATTAAGAACAGTAAGTAACCAGAATTTGGTATTAGAGATAAAGTAAATAGTAGTATAAGAAAAGTAATTTGTTTAAGTAGATTAAAGTAATCATATAGATATATTAATAAGAATAGCTTGTAGTAATGTTCTCAAAAGTAGTAAACTATTGAGATATAACATTTTTAGAATGTTTTTTTAATCTAGAAGAAATATGTTGCTAGTGTAATAAGTATAAATTATTATATGTAATAAGTTAGTTAAAAAAGAGTAATTTGTAATATTTAAGTTGTTTTTTAAAGATGAAATATTTGAGATAAAAGAAGAGAAGAAATTTAAAAAAGATAACTTCATAAATTAGAGTATATAGAATATTATAAGTTGGGTTAGTAGAAAATGTCTAGTCAATATGTTTAATGAGTTAAATGATTGGTATCATCAATAATTAGATTAAAATATAAGAAGTTATTGGTAAAAGACTATAGGTTGTTTTGTAACTGTTGAATTTAGATGTGAGTTAATGTGCCTAATAGGTTAGGATTATTAAGTTGTTTGAGAAGATTAGGAATATGATATTATAATTGAATGTCCTAGATGTATTTAATGTTGTAGATTTGAAAATGTAAAATGGTACTAGAAGATATTATACAACAAAATTTAGCTTTAAGTTTAACAAGACTGATATGCTAAGTAAAGATTTTATTGCAAGTAGGCTGGCTAACTACAATGTTTTGAAAATGATATTTAAGAGGAAAATAATAACTGTATTAATAATATAATAGGCATATAAGTCAGTAATATGTTTAATTTTAGCAATTTGAATAAGTTAAAAGGATTTAGCAATGAGCAGTTTTGTTTGTTTAAATTGCCTATTGTTTAAGATGAACTAGCAATCTAAAAATTTAAAGAGTTGTTTAAAAGAGTGAAGTAAAAGAAGATGATTATTATAAGAAATAGCAATATAGTAAGATGGAGGATTATTGGTAACCAGAATAAATTTTGAGAAGTTAACTTGAATGTTAGTCATAGCATAAAATAATTCAGCTATGAATAGTATATTAGAAGCTTAGTTTGTAATAAAGAGTATCATCCATATATACCAAAACAGAGTATTGTTTTTGTAATAAATTAAATGTTTGCTTTAAGATTAGTAGCTCATAAGAATTGTAAGATATAGCCAGATACTTGTGCATGTATATATGAGATAAGTGAATTATAATATATATACCATAATAAAAGAGTAATAGTTTCACCTTGGTTAATACTATTATGAACTAAATATGAGGGAATAAGGTCAAGATTAGCAATAACCTGATTGTGGCAATCAGTTAGAAGATTAGAAAGAATATTAATAATAAATAGAAAGAGTGTTAGATAAGAAAATAAATGTTTAAAAAGAGTAAAGTTGACAGAGTTATATACTTTACTCATATCTTATAAAAATAGCCAAATGTTCTTATAATTGCAAATAGCATCTTTAATATGATTATTAAGAATATGAATAGAAATTGAAGTGTTATTGTTAGGGAATACAACATAATTAAAAGGTGAAAGAATAGAATTAGTAGAAAATATAGTGCCTAGTCTGTTTGTATATAGTTTGCAAATATGTTCAACAAGGCTAATGGGTCAAATAAGATTAAGAGCTCCATCAAGAAGTTACATTTGGGAATAGAATAAATTCTGTCATATTTTTATTGCTTAGAAATTCTATTTTCAAGAAGGCAATAGTTAAAGAGATTAGTAATACAGAAATATATTCAGAGCTTATATGTTTGAGTATTTTATAACTAATGCTTATAGAACTATAGACTTTGTTGTTAAAAAGTTGAAAAAGAGTTTAAAAAGTTTTTTATTTGTGATAAAAGAGTTCAGAGATTGGTATCAAGTTGGGTTTATATAAAAGAGTAGAAAATAATGTTGTTACCAAAAATTATCAAAAAGAGTTTCATTAATAGGTCTAAGTACAGTTTATATAAAAATGTGATTAAACATACTGTTTAATAAGTAGTGGATCAATTATAAGATTTATTAGACAGTTTTATATTAGAGAAATAAACATTGATAGTAGCAGTTAAGAATGCTATTAATGGCTTAAGTAGAATGTGTTATAAGGATAATATATCTTTTGTTAGTAACTTTGTTAATTTGTTGTTAAAGTAGAAGAAAGTTTTTGAGGTACCAAGCATGAAAAAGCTATTTTTAGATAGAGTAAGCATGTTGAAGTCATAGTTAAGTACAAGATAGATTGGTAAATTTAAGTAGTTAAAAGTCATATTGTAACTATTTGTTAATTTGAAAGATATTTTGATTAATGTTGAAGATGTCAGAATGTTGAATAAGTTTTTAACAAGTTTAATAATATAACCAAGTTTTTTAAAAAATGAATGTAATAAGGTACTGTAAGGTAAGTATTGATGGTTGTAACTATATTTTTAAGAGACTTTATTAGGAATAGTATAAGTAACAAAGTAAATAATAGAGTATTGAATTTTGTGCCAAATTGTTTCAATACTTTCATTAGTTTTATTATTAATAAGAGTTTTGTGTAATAAAAGTTGTTAGATAAAGTATCTGCAAAAAATTATTAGTTCTTTGTAGATATAAAGTTGTAGTTAAAGATGCAGCAACTAATACTAGTACATTTATATAAGGATTTGCTATAAGCATGTAGAAATATTCATGTAGAGAAAAAAATTAAATAGTTACTGAAGGTTAAGATTTGACTATTATCAAGACTATAAGAGAAAAGAAATTGTATATTAAATTGGTTAGTTCAAATATAATTAATACAACTACTACTAGTATTATTAAACTAGATAAAATGTTTGCTGTTAAAGTGAGCTTATATATATTGAAGTTGTAAAGAAAATTAATAAGTTTATATTTAGAAAAAGAGCTATGAGAGTTGTCTTGTATATTAAAATTACCAAAAATAATAAGATGAATATGAAGTTAAGAAATTTGTTAAATCTAGTTAATAACAGTATTTTGAGTTTGATTATAAGTAAAGATGTTAGTTGATAACAGATATTGTTATAAACATTTTACATTTTTTTCTGTTATTTGTTTATATGTATAATTTAGTATAGTATAGTAATAGAGTTCAAAACCTAGTATAAAGTTTATATATATAAGTTAGTACAATGTAGTAATAGGATTCAAAACCCAAACATAAGGTTTATATGTATAAGTTAGTCAATATAGTAATAGGATTCAAAACTTCAGTATAAGGTACAAGATTCTGCATTGTATAATTCAAAGACAATATAATATAGTAATAAGGTTCAAAACTCCAATATTAGGTTTAAGACCCAAATTTAGAGTTTTTAATCCCAATTACAGGTCAAAACTCTAGCAGAAAGTTTGAGACCCAATCTTTAAAATTAATAAATAAAAATTCATTCTGCAAAATTGATAAATATATATGGCATAAACTAAGACCTTATTAGTATACTCAAAGTAATAAGTGATAGTCTTAAATAATATAGTCTAGTATTTGACATTGCACCCTCGTGTTGGTACCTATAGACTAACAACTTGTTAGTATTAGTTATATAATTCACAATAACTTACCAGTAATCCAACAATAGGAACCTTCCCAGCCTAGTCCTGTCAATTAGTTAATAGCCAAGTTGAGGCTATGTCTATGCTTGTAGTATCATGCTAAACCAGCAATATATAAGAAAGGCTTTCTCTAACTACAACATTTTGGTACCAATTGTATAGAAGAATAACAAAGTGGGTAAACACCAAAAGACCATGTGAATAGTCATTGACAATCACTATGTATATATAAGTAGTAAAAGTGTTAAAAAAAGAATATAAACAAGCACTAAGTATACAAATAGTAATAATAGAACAAAGAGTATAGAAAAATGTAAGAAAATGTCTTTAATAACATAACTTCTAAGGACAGTGACCATAATTTTGGATTAATAAATAGAGGAAACATTTGTAAAGGAAGCAAGCCCTCTAGCAATGAAAGCTTGTTAGATAATTTGAACCTACCAATAGACTATAAACAACAACCAACTTTTGATCAACAAGCAATATAACTATTGCAAGTTATAGTAAACATTCTGAAACTGTCTTGAAAAATTTAATCAGAGTTAAGTAAGCAAAACATAGTAAACTATTCAATGTTTAGTAAAAGAAACCAGGACCTAATAGAATAAATTGAGTCAATTACACAAGCATTTTGTGCTAACAACATTTGAGAGGCCAGGTGAATTGTAATAGCAAATAAATACTAGTTTGATCTTACTGCACTATAGTAGAAAAGTTTGAGAAACTAGAGAATAGAGATATGATACTTGAGCAATGAGATAATGATAGAACAGAGTTTTGTATACTAGTTTCAACAAAACTTCTGTACCTTAGCTCTAATTAACCAATAGAACACCAAATTACTAACAAGGTGGAAATATAGAGAAGAAACAATAAATCAATATGCTGCAAATATGTTGGTGTTGTTCAATCAGTGACCTGAGTTAGGAACCAGTACCTCGAATTAACCAAGAAACAAATATTCATTCAAGGCTTCATTCAGACCTGTCATTGGTTGTAGGACCATTTATGCTAAATATACTCCAGAAAGCTATTAACAGGATATAAATTTGCGAAATGACTTTTGTAAGAGAAATGTAATATATAGGTCAGCATTGTATTATTAACTAGCTTATAAAACTACCTAAGCACCCATATTACTACTACACCAACCAATGTATCCTGTGAACCAACCAGTTACCCTTGCACAAGCTTCAAATGCTTCAATAGAGCAAGTTATGATGCTATTATATGAGGTAGTTACAGAGTAAGAAATAATAATAGCAACAACAATAACTGATTATATCTTTCACAGAATGGAAACTGACCTGATAGAATAAACTGGCCATCTGTATACTATGCTTGTTAACAAGTAGGTTACTATGCCTGTAAGTGCCTAACCAATAATTGTATTAATGATAATTGGAATGATAATAATCTTCTAGTTTAGAATTAGAATAATGCCTTTATGAATAACAATAGAATAGCAAAGAAAGCCCCAAAGGCACAAGCAAAGATAGTGCAAATACAAGGTAACTTTGAGCATTTAAACTTAAAAGCACACCTTTAGAAAGTAAAAGTGCATGACTATTTACAAACCTCTCTATTGCAAAGATAGAGAAAGCATACATAGTAAAAAGAAAACATGTCAATAAAGAGTCTGCTAAAGTGAAGCTTCTGTCTGGGAATAGTTATAGTGATGAAGACAACCAAGCAAGTAAGCAAGCAAGTAATCAGAAAAGTAAGCTAAAAAATAGTAAAAAGGTTATAAAAAAGAAGGTTATGAAACTAGTAAAACTTCCAGTAATAGCAAAATAGCCATACTTGATAATAACAGATCTGTAAAACAAAAAGGCTAGCATAACATATGCCCATCTCTTTCAAGCAGCACTAAACATATGAAAGGAAACATTGAAAGTGTTATGACCAAAGAAGGTGACAAAAGAGAAGCTTACTGAATTCTGTTTGGCAGAAGTAAAAACTCTTATACAACTTCAATATATTGTGATACTCAGATAAATAGCCAATCAATTATCTTAATTTTAAACAGTAGTTTATCAATATGTGTAGTTTTTGCTAGATTTTTAAAGAATGCTAAAATGACTATCAACTGTTCATCAATAGTAATGATAGTAGGAGTGCATGGTGAGCAGAAAAGATCCTTAGGTAAGATTAAAGAATTCTTTGTAACCATAGAAAGGAAAACTATAACATCTTGAGCTGTTATGACCAATGTCAAAAACTATGCCATAATAGTAGGAAATGACTAGATAAAGAAGGCTTAAGCATATTTAGATTGGGAGTTTTGTGAGTTAATAATACAAAATGGCAATAAGAAAATAAAGGTTTTGACAGAATATTGTAAGCTAACCTATATCCAGAATCGAATCTTTTTGGAAGATAAAAAAGAAAAAAAAAAGCTAAAGAAGAAGATGAAGGTTCTGATAATAATGTTAGTAGTAGCAATAATGATGATGAATAGAAGGTTAATGATGAGGATGAGTATGATGAAGAAGAAAAACTGATAAGTCAAATGTATTTGTATTTCAGATTTTATCCTATAAAGGAGAAGACTGATGCCATATGCAGATTGTGCTTAAGGAAAGGTTACTATGAAGCAGAGTGTATATGGAATGAGGTTTTAGACCAAAAGACAAAACCTCATATAAAGAAAAGAAAGATGGATGATTTCAAGTTAGAAAATATGACCTCTAAATAGCAAGTTCAAATAAAAAAGATACTAAGTCTGTACAAGGACATTTTTACTTATAAACCTGACTAGCTAGAAAGAACATTTATTGTGCAACATGAAATTTATATAGAGAAAAGTTTTTTTGTAAAGTAATAGTTTTACCTCACATCCAAGATAGAGCATAAGTTTATCAACCAAGAAATTAAGAGGATGGAGAAAGCTGGGTTGATCTGACCATTATGTAGTCTATGGGCATCTTTTATTGTATTGGTCAGAAACAAAAATAGGAAAATAAAGTGGTGTGTTGACTTTCGAAAGCTGAATTAACAAACTAAGCATAATAGTTACCCCCTTATAAGAATTAATAAGTTATTGGGAGCCCTCAAGAACTTGACCTGGTATACTACTCTGGACCTCATTAGTAAATTTTGGCAGGTTAGAGTTTATCCACATAATTGTAAAAAGATGGCCTTTACAACAAAATTTGGAATTTATGATTTGTAATAATGCCTTTTATTCTAACAAATGCTCTTGTCACTTTTTAGTGATTAATGGATTATATATTTCAAAAGAAGATGTGAAACTTTATTTTTGCCTATATAGATAATGACAATATCTATTCTTTCAGTTTTGAAAAACACTTGAGCCATGTGAATGCTGTTCTTGGTAAACTGCATTAAGCAAATCTAAAGTTGAACTTAGACAAGTGTTATTTTGAACAAGACTGAATAAAGTTCCTAAGACATAAAATTTCTAGTAAAGGTATAATTCCAACTATAACAAAAGTAGTCACTATGAGTAACTTTTTTTGACCTAAGAACCTTTATGCATTAAGAGGGTTTCTAGATCTGGCTGGCTTCTATTATTACTTTATTAAAGATTTTTTGAATATAGCTACACCTCTTTACAAACTATTAAAAATAGAAGAAAATTTTATCTGATAGAAGGAGCAACAAGTAGCATTTGATAAATTAAAGAGTGGGCTTACTTCAGGCCCCATCCTCACTCATCTTTGAAATAATGTTAGATTTGTTTTGTATACAGATATATTGCACCTTGTTTTTGGTACTTTTTAGTTCAGCCTAGTAATGACAGACTTGAAGGTATTGTGGAGTATGCTAGTTGATTAATAAAGCCTGCTAAATAAAATTATACAATAACTGAATCAGAGTGTACTGCTATTGTTTGGGCTGTGAAGAAGTTTTATCAATATCTTCACAGATCCTAATTTATAATAGTAACTGATCATACTGCTTTGACCTACCTTAACAATATGGCTAACCTAACCAGTAAGATGGCAAGATATATTATAACTCTTCAGAGCTATAATTTTGTAATAAAGTATTAACCTAGAAGGCAACTAAAGAACATCAATAGACTGTTATGAGTAGAGGAACCTAAATGAAAAAAATATATATATAAAGCAAAAAATAAATAAATAAATAAATAAATAAATAAATAAATATATATAATAATAAATATAAACTTAGTAATAATACATATGCAAAATTATAGACATAGTAGTTAAGGGTCAACTACAACATTTATATGCAGAGTCTGAGATATATAAACCAATAGTTTGATATAAAATACTAATGTAACAGGTTGTAGAATAATGTAACAACTAGAAAAGATATAAAAACAAGTTAAAAAGATTCAACCTTATATGAGTACTCTTGAGTTAGCTATTCTAAGATGAATTGAATCTACTATACAGAAACTGCTTTTGATTAACTATAAGTAGATCCTTAACCCAAATCTGTAATCCAGTCCAGGTGACAATGTTTTGGCATACAAAAAAAAAAAAAACTGACAAGCTAAACAGATCTTTAAGATAAAACCCAAAGATTATACTAATCTGATTCAATATTTAACTAAGTTAGAACTGCTAAGAAAATACTCAAAGAAACAAAACTGAAGATTGAGAAATCAGTCTAGACATTACATTGTACAGGAAGGAGTGCTGTACTAAAAGAACTGTCAAGAGCCTGATCAATCTTTAAGAGTATTAAAGCATAAAGAAGTAGTGATAGTGCTAAGAGCTTTACATAATAATTTTACATTTGGATATTTAAAAAAGAAAGCCACTATAAAGAAGACAAGAAGGCAGTATACTGAAGTTAAATGATAAAGGATATCAAGAGTTATATATAGAGTTGTGATGCATGTCAATGTTGTAGAAAACCAAAGACCCAAGAAGCACTGCATCTAATACAGATAACTTAACCATTTGACTGAGTAGGAATGGATATATTAGGGCCTTTGTCTCTTACAAAAAATAGTAACAGGTACCTAGTAATGGCAATAGAGTATTTAACAAAATGGCTCAAGATTCAAGTGCTATATAACTATATAGCAGAATCTGTTGTTACTTTTGTATTAGAAAATATAATTGGTTAGCACAGCTGCTTCTGAAAGATTTTAATGGACCAAGGGACCTATTTTAAGAACTCAGTTATAGAGAAGGTCTGTAATAAGACTGGTATTAAGCACAAATTCTTGTCATATATTATCTACAGACCAACATCTTGTTAAACAGTTCAATTAAACCATTTGTAAAACATTAGCAAAGTGTATAAGTCAGTATCAGAGAAACTGGTATGCTTATGTAAGCTTCACTCTATTTGCTTGCAGAACTGCTACTAGAAACCTGTTTCTTGGATTCTATAAATAATGATCATTATGAGTCAATAGTTTTAGCCTAAACCTTAAGGTTGGTGGATGAACAGTTTAAAGTTTGGATCAAAACATATAAGAATATTTGCAAGGCCTAGCAAAAGCAAAAGTTGAGCCATGACTGGCAGTACCTCTAGCAGAGCTTCAAAATCAGAAACAAAGTGCTGAGGTATTAGGCAAAATGTGAAAAAAGTTGGGTATTAAATTAGAGAAAAAGTGGTTAGGACCATACTGGATGCATGATGTAATAGTCAATAATACATATCAATTATATATGATATAAAATGATGAAAAAGTAATAAAAGGGGCAGTGCATAGTAGTCAATTAAAATACTATAAAATGTGAAATGATGATGAAATAAGATAATAGTAAAAATACAAAAAAAAAATTTATATATAAATATAAACAAAAAAAAAAAAAAAATAGAACAACATTTTAAAAGTTTAAGAAAAACAATCCAACAACTTGTAAACTGGATGGAGCTCTACAAAGAGCTAGAGGTTAAGAAGGAAAAAGTAATCTTTTAATACCAGGACCAATAGATTTATAAAGGGTTTAAAAGAACAAAAGAAGGACCAAGACTCAACAAATCTATAACTATTTGGTTCTATATTTTTAAGACTTGGACTACCTCATGTGGACTGAACTTGCAATGCCTATTGAAGCCTTTAGAAAAATCTGAAGTAAAAAACTAAGTAATGTGTATAGTGATATTGAAGACTTGAATTTAAAAACCCAATTATAGCTAAAATATTAGAGAGCTATTACAAAGTAGAAAGCTTGCTGTTTGAAAAGAGTTGGATAATGAAGCATGAAGGAAGTTGGCCAAGCAACTTCAGGCCTCTAAAGTAGGTTTAGTGTAGAAAATTGCAAAGCAAGTATATATGTTGTTTGCTGTATGAGGTGAGTGGTGTATGCACTAAGTTCAACATATATTGATTTTAGTGCTGGAATGAATGTTGAAATGAATTTTTCTAAGCTAATATTAGCAGAAGCAGAAAGGTTAAAAGAGGAAAAAATTTGAAAAATAGTATTAAGTTCACAGGAGCTTATTCTTTGAGCTGAGAAAGGTGTTATAAAACTTTTTGCATTTTCTTCTATTATTTATTTATATATATAAATTAGTATAGCATAGTAATAGGGTTTGAAATCTCAGCATAAGGTTTATATGTATAAGTTAGTACAATGTAGTAATAGAGTTCAAAATCTTAGCATAAGATTTATATATATAAGTTAGTACAATATAGTAATAGAGTTCAAAACCTCAGTATAAGGTACAAGATCTTGCATTGTGTAATTTATAAATAGCATAATGTAGCAATAAGATTCAAAACTCCAATATCAGGTTTAAAACCCTAATCTAAAGTTTTTAACTCAATTACAAGTTTGAAACCCTAGCAGGAAGTTTAAGATCCAACCTTTAAAATTAGTATAAATAGAGTGTATGCCTAATAAATAAAGATTCATTTGCAAGATTGATAAATATATATAGCATAAACTGAAACTCTACTAGCATACCCAAAGTAATAAGTGATAGTCTTGAATAGTATAGCCTAGTATTTGACTCTTTATCCTCATGTTGATATCTATAAACTGACAACTTGTTAGTATTAGTCACTAACTTATAATGACCCACTAGTAATCCAACAATCAAAACCTTCCTAGACTAGTTTTATTAATTAGTTAATAGCCAAGTTAAGGCTACATCTATGCTTGTAGTACTATGCTAAACTTGCAATATATAAGAAAGGCTTTCTTTAATTACAACAGTATACTAAGATGATGTAGAGTTTAATATTACTTCAAAAGAAAATATTAAGTGCTATAACACCTCTAGAATAAATATGAATATTGTGAATATGAGGTTTAAGATAATTGTAGATCATAATAGCAGTGCCTTCAATAGAAGTAAGAGAATTAGACCAATAGTAGGTGAAAAAGGTATTATTGCAAAAAAAAAAATTAGTTTTGTTAGAGATTTTAGTTTCTGTAATGTTTGCAATAGAAATGTTATGATTGAAACAATAGTCTTGTCAGGCTTCTTTTTTAGTAAGTTCATTAAAGCCTTTAATATTATATGCAACAATATTAAAATAAAGATAATGTAAGGTTGAATTGAATAAAGATATAGAAAAACTGCAATTAGAAAAAGTTAAAGAATGATTGTTAAGAAATAGATCAGATATAATAGAGGTAGGATTAAAGAAATTAGATCTAAGTAGTAGGTTGTAAAATATAGAAAGAAGATATTAAGTAATAATAATATGATCTGGTAAAAGAGTGTCATTAGAAAGATATATAGGTTTTATTATAAGAAGAATTAATAAAAAACATAATACTAGATACAGTTTTGTTGTTATTATATTTGTCAATATGTTGAATTATGATTTAAATAGTTTGATCATGAGGAGAAAGTGGTAAATTTTAATGAAGAAAGAATTTGTTAAGGCATGTATAAAAATTATAAGAAATTAAAGATGTTGTAAATAATTTTTCAAAATTGTCTTTTACAGGGTAGATTACTGTATGTTTGGCTCTTATAGCTGTGCAAGGTACCATAGTCTGAATAGTCTAAAATTTAAAGAAACAGAATAGTTATTCTGCTTAAAAACCATCAAAAGTAAAGCAAACTTTTGTAAATGTATTAACAATCAGGTGGTCTGCAGTTTTCAAAAAACTTTATGCATTTAGAAATTAAAGTTAAAAAAATTGCATAAGAAGATCACAAGGCTAAAGGCAGAGGCTGTAATTCTGAAAATAAGATCCTTTACAAAAT